TGGATTTAAGCATTCCACACATTTTAATCCATTACGGTTGATGTGTTTATTGAAAGGGCCTTAGTTCTCCAATTGGGCTTTTTATAGAACCCTAGGATTCTTGGGCTTTCCAACTCAAGTCAGAAGATTGCCGTTTTAGACTGTTTCTGTACTAGGCTTCCCTTTGGTTAAAATAAACACTGAATTAAAGCATTGTGTCTGAAATTCCTCCACTAACCATGCAGATCTATTGAGGAGGTACAGGGTGCAAGTTAACAGCATTAGCCAGTTAGCAGCTTTTTAATTACAGACTAGGGCCCACAGTGAATAGGACTAAGGAGAAAACCATTTGGGGGAACTGAGTAGGGTGCCAGTAGGAGGGAAGGCCTGATGAGGAAGCTGCCTGCATTCTATCAGAGGAAGTTCTCTCCCTTGGGTCACCTTGTTAGGGGTTGAGGGCCTTGGTGATGAGCTGAATTGGATTTCTGAGCCTTACTGAATTAAATATTTTATTTCTAATTTTTTAGATTATAAGTAATTATAAAGTAAAGGACACCTTTTCGTTTTAGTTAATTTTTGTTTTTAAGAACTCCCTTTCCGAATTCAAAGAGAATTACACCATTGACACATTTGAATTCAGGTTGAAACTAAGCACTGTGGTCATTTCTTGCACTTCTTCCATTAGCTGAGGTTTAGTTTTGCTGTGTCATTTCAGCTGGGGAGGTCTTTGGCTTGTTGCAGTGATTTTTCAAATCTTGCTCTTGAAGCCTGACAGAAATTTTCTGAAACGTGCTTTTTCTAACTTGGTCAGTTCCATATTTGCATCTATATCTGACATATATTTATTAGGTTTCATATTTATCATCTGCTGGCAGTTCTAGAGATGGGTCTGAGTTGTGTACATCATCCTCCTTTAGTCTCATTTTCTTAGTATATATGTATATAAAGCTTGCCTTTAGATTTTCCTTTACTGGAATTATTTGTTTTAAAGCTTCTGGTGACAGATACATGGAAACCTAAATATCTTAAGTTCAGAATGGTTCCTAGGGTAGTTTTTCCTACTTCCTTCTGTTGCTTCTATACCTATGTCATGTGTGCTTGTAGTTTTTCCTAAATGTGGGAAAGAAAAACATAGCTTCAGACTCTGTTTTCTGATCACTTCTTCTAGAGGGTACAATAATAACTTGTATCTAAGGGCGCCTGGGTGGCTCAGTCATTAAGCGTTTACCTTCGGCTCAGGTCATGATCCCAGGTCCTGGGATCAAGCCCCGCATCGGGCTCCCTGCTCAGCGGGAAGCCTGCTTCTCCTTCTCCCACTCCCCCTGCTTGTGTTCCCTCTCTCGCTGTGTCTCTGTCAAATAAATAAATAAAATCTTAAAAAAAAAAGATAACTTGTATCTAATTCTTTATTACCTAAATTAGATAAGGCACATAAATATTCTTAAGCCCAGAAAAAGTTTAGTGTTGATTGGGTAACAATGGTACACATTTACATAGAAATCATGAAAAGCCAAAACCATCTAATAATTTCTCGCCTAAAGCTCAGTCATATATTTGAATTTTTAAAAAATATTTTATTTAGGTGTTTTATCTTCCATCTTATTCCAGAAATGGAATTCAGTTTAATATCTTCTTCGAGCTTACGAGCAATATCCAAGGCTTACTTTATGTTGCCTCCATAGTAGTTCTCAGACATAATTCATTCTCGGTCTTGCGAGGGTGCATCACAGTCTCTTGGAGGCTTTTGTTTAAAAATTTTTATTTCCCCGGTCTTACCTCAAGTCTACAGAATTAGAATCGCCTTCTGGGTGTGTGAAACTTAGGAATCTGAAGTTTTCAAGTTTTGCAGGTGATTCAGATCCTTAACCAGGTTTGTGAATGATTACACTCCTATACTTGGAATAGTGCAGGGTCCTTAATAAAATCTTTTATGACCTTAGATCATCATTGGTATTGTTTTCTTCAGACAAGAAGAGCATTTTATACTAGTATACATTTCATTTTCTGGACATACTTTCATGTTGTCTGTATAGCTTTACATTTTGTTAGATGAAGATCCATTTTCCCATACAGCTTTTGTTGACCTCAACCATCCTCTGCAGTATATATTCCTGAGGAGCTGAATGACAGGCAAGAAGGCATCTTCTTTGGCACATTTCTTTGAAGAAAAACTGGGCATCTGTAGGCCCCTCACTGAAACATGAAGTGTGATTTTGGCTGTTGAAGCTCATGGTCCAGAAGCCTGTGGCGCTGGCCCTCTGTAGGCCACAGCTGCCCCAGCTTTCCTGGCCATCCCTGCTCTGTGCAGTTTTCTGCCTCATTCATCACACCGACACTGTTGCATAAGGTGATTGGTCACATACAATATTTAGCAGCAAATCCCTCTCTGACTTCTAATATGCAAATATTATTCCTCTAATCCTGGCTCTGCAGCTGTTGCCTTTTTGAGGCCCCAACCAATTTCACTTGACTGATGATGTCTTGGTGTGAAGGATTAAAAGGGAACCTTGAGTTACCATAGTACAGAAGCCAACTCAATCGAGTGTTTATTGGAAAGATTTGGTATCGTGAGACTGCTGTTTAATATCATCCTATTTACAATATTAATTTGCCTTAACGTGAAGAGGTTTTTGGGACTTCTTTGTGTGTGTGTGTGTGTGTGTTAATGTTCTTTAATCACCTGGTATCAATCCCTTTAAGATAGTCATAAGAAATTACTTTTACATCATATCAGGTTTTCAGCATTTTGTGTTGCTTTCCCACAGTAGCTACTGAGTCACTGAGAGCATTGCCCCAGGGAAAGGAAAGAGGAAAAAATGGTTAAATGCACAGCAAAAAGTCTTCAACAGATACTTGACGATTGATTACCTCTGTCTTCTTTTTACTTGACACTAATTTCTTCTACCACGGAGTAAAAAAACTTGGAAATTCAATTACTGCTTTCTCCTTACTTCCTCTCATCCTTCGCTCCCTTTCTCTTTCCCTTCCTTTCTTCCTTTTATTCATTTTTTAAAGCTATTAAGTGCCTTTTATAAAAACTGTTCTAGGGACTGAGAATACATCAGTGAATTAAGTCCTTGCTTTCATGGACTTTACTTCTAAGTATAAAAGAAAAAAACAAAAAACACAGACCAACTTGTGTAGGCATTTGTAGGTCATAGAAAATATTTTGGATTTTATTCCACCGTATGATAGCAAGCTGCTGGCTGGTTAAGAAAAGTAAGTGGCAGGATCTGATTTATCTTTTAAAAGGCTTACTCAGACTGCTGTGTGGAGATTAGATTGTAAGGGTGGGGGCAGTAGTTAAGATGACTAGTTGGGAGGTGACAGATTGGTAATGGTAGTGAAAAATAATATATTTATATTTCAAATCTAGAGCCCATAGGATTTGCTGACAGTTGGTTATAGAATGAAAAAGAATGGGCTTTAGGATAATGCCTAGGTTTTTTTTTTTTTTTTTTAAAGATTTTATTTATTTATTTGACACAGAGAGAGAGAGACAGCTAGAGCGGGAACACAAGCAGAGGGAGTGGGAGAGGGAGAAGCAGGCTCCCAGCCGAGCAGGGAGCCCGATGTAGGGCTCAATCCCAGGACCCTGGGATTATGACCTGAGCCGAAGGCAGACGCTTAACGACTGAGCCACCCAGGCGCCCCATGCCTAGGTTTTTGACCTGAATAAGCCAGAAAATGTAGTCACCGTTTGCTGAGATGGGAAATGCTTGGGGAAAAGCAGGTTTGAGGGAAAAGTTGGAGAATTAAGAGAACATGCCATGTTTAGATATGTATTAGACACCCAAATGGAGATGTTACCTCTGCAGTTGGAAATACAAGTCTGAAGGTACAGGCAGAAGTCAGGGTAAGCATATACGTGTGGAGTGAATAATCCGTAGATGATGATTAAAGCTATGGGAGAGAGAGCGCATGAGATCACCCAGGGACTGAACAGATGTATCAGGGAGGACTGTTTTGAGAACTCTTGCTACTGAGGGGAACAGAGCAAAGGAGAAGTAGCTGGAAGGAGATAATGAGGTCAAGGGAGATTTTTGTCATTTTCATTTGTTGTTTGTTTAATAAAGTTCATCCTTTGTTAAAAAATGGAAGGCAGGGTGTATGTGCACAGATCCTGGTAGCCTGGAAACCTGATGGTAGGAGGATAAAGTTCTCCTGATTGCTTCTGTTTTATACTCAGGGAAATAAGACACAAAGTCATGAGCTCAGGGGAGGGGAGAAGGGGAAAGAGCATATTTTAAGTTTGAGAAGCAATGGGAAGGTGTGAAATAGTTCTTTTGGAGAGTATGTTGCTTAGTATTTCAGACTTTTAGACTCTGAGATAACAGTGTAATCTCAGGAATGCCAAGTATTTCTGTGGATATTTTGCTTAAAGGAACCAGAATAGGAATAGTTCTGCCAAAAATCACTAAATGTAGACAGAGTGCTTCTCTGATTTGTTCAGAAAATGTATAAAAGTCATTTGATAAATTCCAGCCTTTAAATTTTTGAATCGCTAATATAGCTCCCTGGTTCAAAACGCAAAAAGAATAAGCATGTAAGCAATGAAGTGTCTTCTTTCCTTGGGTCCCTACCGTCTAATTCCTTTCCCTGGAGTCTGTCAATGATAAAACACTTCCTTGTGTTTCCTTCCAGAGATACTTTATTGATCCATTTTTTATTTTTATTTTTTTTAAGTTGGCTCCACGCCCAGCTTGGAGTCCAACTCGGTTTGAACTCATGACCCTGAGATTGAGACCTGAGCTGAGATATTGATCTATTTTTTAAAAGCTAAATATATGGTGGGATTTTTAAAATACTCCTTACTCCAATTAAATAAATCATTTTTGAAAATATTACTAATATTCCTTTATCCTCTTTATACAAAAATGATTTATAAAAAGAGCAAGAAAGCATCTGTTTTAATAGTGACTTTACAGTGTTGGCAGCCATCTGGCAGGAGTTGTATCTGTTAGATTTTTCTTAAGAAATGTGTATATTTAACAAGGTTCTTTTCCCTTCTTTCTTCACAGCTGATCTAGCATCTTTAATGGATAAAACATATGAGAGAAAGTTGCCTGTTAGTTCTTTAACAATATCACGGGTAAGAAAACTTAAACATGTATATTTTCAAAGAAGGAGGACGAGAGGCTCTTTATATAGATGAGGCTGTGTAAATAAAGACTATCATTCATAGGAAATATTTCTCCAGAGTATGGTATGTTTTTGTAGTTATTAATAGATGTTTTGTAGTAAAGTAGCAAATTTCTATAACTGAAATAAAAGGTAATAAATTTACCAGACTCTGGTATCAGTAATCATTGTTGTGTATCTGATTTATTTTGATTTTTCCAGAATGATATTCTGTTCTGTGATATCATGATTTTTTTTAAGTTGGTACACCTTTCAAAGTAATAGTATTCATTTGTTAATATTGGAAGTAATTTTGATACTTGAGGAAGTCTATAAAAGAATGGAAATTGTTAATGTTAAATATGCAGTGCAGTGGAAGGGAGAATAATGTTAGGCTGGGAATCGGGAATAGGAATTGATAGTAACCATTACTGAACACTTTCTATGCCAGCCATTTTACTAGTTTCTTAACGTACATTATCTCTGTTACTTCTTACAGCGGCTATTTGAGATAAGCACTGTAAACTGCATTTTACGTGTAAGACTCAGACTGGTTGATAACTTTCTCAAGTTCACACAGTTCATAAGTAGAAAAAGTGGGCTTCAAACCGAGATCTCTGTGACATCAAACTTCTTTTCTGTTGCCTCCCTCAAATAGATCTGATTTTTTCTTTATCATGAATTCACTTTGTGACATTATCTGTTGGGCCCCTCTCGGTCTCCTCATTTCCAGTGTGGGGTCAATAGTATCTCCCTCACAGGGCTGATGCGATGCTAAAATGAAATCTTAGTTGTGAAAATCCTTTGTTGAAATTAATGGCACCATAAAATTCAAGATGAGGAAAAGTAAAGAGACTCATCCTTTTTAGTCGGGGTCCTTTCTTTCTCCCTCTTGATATTTTCCTTTTAGTAGGGAGATAGTTTTAACTAGGTCATAACCTAAATTGTATAGACTCATAATTTTCAGAGGGGAACTGAAAAGCCATTGCTCATCTCTTCCATGATGGATAAAATTTCTGTATGCCGTAATACATGATAATTTGTTTAAGCAGCACCTTAGAGCTTAACAGGCTCTCATGTACATTTTCTCACTGGGGCTTCACACTCTTCAGTGCAGGTGCCTTTATCTAGTTATGCAGATGGAGCAGCTAAGTTCCAGAGCGGTGGTGCCATCTGTCTCTGCCACACAGCAAGCAATCAGGAGAGCTAGTTCTCAACTTTAAGTCCTGTGTTTGAAGCGTATTTTCTCTGCTCCTTAATGAGATTTCTAAATAAAATCCTTAAGTCCTAGACATTTTTAGAAAGTCTCCCCCTTTTTACTCTCTTCCTCTTCATGAGGTTTTAATTATATTCACAACATGCATTTTCTCCTACTACATCCTTTTTGCCTGTGTTCTACTTTAAGGTAGAATCCATCCTTGGAATAATTATTTCTGTGTTTCTTTTAGAGTTAAGGAGCACACACGGGATTTTATGGTTCAAAGGAAGACTGTTGGTGCAAGGATCACAGGTTGACTCTGAACCAGAGTAGGAAAAATGGTCATAAGGCTGCATTTTCTAAATTTAGATTTTCATCTCTTGGGCCATATTTTTTCGGCCATTAGAGACTTCATCCTTTCAACTATGTGTTCTCGTGTTTGGAACTTGGAACACAGAGAAAATATCAGGGTTTAAAGATAAAGGGAAATACTGATAACTAATTATACCGTAGTAGGAGGAGCTCTTTTTTGTTCTAAGCAAGTTTCATGTTTGGTTTTCAGTTTATCTAACCAAGGTTGATCTACACATAGAAAAAGAGAAGCCATTGTATATTCTTTGCTTTAGTATAAAAGGGTTTCAAGGATGGAGTCATACCATGTGAACAGTGGTCCAATAAGATGGGTGTCTTATCTTTTTTAAGGTCAGTGTGTGAATTAGATCCAATATATAGCATAATCTGCATTCAACCAAAGGTTTATTTTTCTGTGTTTTAGTTTGTGGACAACATTTCCTCTAGAGAAGAGATAGACCATGCCGAGTATTACCTTTACAAGTAAGTTTTCCATTTTATTTGGTTGTATATTCTCTTACAAAAGGTGGTAGGTATTATATATGTTTAGCACCTTGCTTTTTAAGTTTACATTTTGGAGATATTTCCATATCAGTATATAGATAGCTTCCTCATTTTTTATAACTGCATCAAATTCCATATTACGAATATACAATTAAATCAGTTCCCTGTTATAGCTAGGAGTTTGAGGTTGTTTGCGCTCTCTCTTTGTAAGTAGGTGCAGTGGAGTAATGAACAACCTTGTACATATGTCATTTTGCACATAATTCTCATAAGTATATACATTTGTAATTACAATAGCTATTGCCAAATTGCTTTCCGCTGAGATTTCACCAACTAACATTCCTGCCAGCAGTGTATGAGAAAGGCCTGTTTTTACATCTTGGTCAACAGGAATTTTCACATTTCTGGATTTTTTGTCAGTCTGGTATGTGAAAAATTTTATGTATCCATTTACTTCTTCTCTCCCTTATTTGGATGGAAATACAGTCTATATGCACTATTCACCTATTTTTAATTAACACTATATTTTAAAACTTTGTACATTGCCACATTTACTTCATTCTTTCTCACAGCTGTGAACATCCCACTAAGAACTATAGACGCACACCCATGTGTACAAAGAAAAAGTACAGCACCATCTATAGTAGCAAAAGACACAAATAACCTAAAGCTGGTTAAATAAGGGGATGGTCAATAAATTGATATATTCTGATAGTTGGTTTTTCATCAGTCGGATATCTGTCAAAATGATACCCTACAACTTTTTATTTTGATTCCTTATTGTGTTTTAAAAATCTGATTTATGATTTGTTCCACTTGCTAGGTTTCAAAAATAGACTCCAATTGAAACTTAAAATGTTTCCTAGTAAGCATTTCATTAAAATTTGCCATTTGATCTTACTTTGCTTTGATTAAAGAGTGTTTTATTTTTTCCATCTGGGTACAATTTTTAAAGCTTTCTTTATATTGGTGAAAATTTATTCAATTTTTTTCATGTGATTTTACTACATAGTAATGAGCCTTTTTTTCTTTCTGAATTGGGTAAATTCTACCACCTTTTTGGTGTTTCCTGTTCAAAATTAAAACAAGCAGATTAGATTTCACACCTGAAAACATTTTAAGTTGCCTTTAATGATGTGATAAGTTTAAATTCTTGGGGCACCTGGGTGGCTCAGTCAGTTAAGCATCTGCCTTAGGCTCAGGTCATGATCCCGGGGTCCTGGGATCTAGCCCTGCATTGGGCTCCCTGCTCAGCAGGGAGCCTACTTCTTCCTCTGCTCCTCCCCTGCTCGTGCTCTCCCTTTCTCTCTCTCAAATAAATAAATAAAATCTTAAAAAAAAAAATAAATAAGTTTAAATTCTAAGTCCTGAAATCAGTGCAAGTGCCTTCCTACTCTCCATTAAGATAAATATAAAGGGATTCCTTGATGAGAGTAAGCCCAGCCTTTCTTGAGTGGTTCTTTGGCACTGTAAGGCTCCTTTGAGAGTTATTTTTGCCTGTGGTGGAAGGTATATTTGGGCTGTCATCTACCTAGTTCTCATTCTTTTGCTTTGTTGATGGCAAAATGCAGAAAACAGTTACAATGTCTAAAGAGAAATTATTTCGTCAAATTCGATCCTGTGGGACACAGTGCCATAGCCTTGGAAGAAATACATGCCAAATTTACAAGTATCTCTGAAGCATGTAATTGATTTCAGTGATTTAATGTTCAGCAAGTATTTACTGAGCACCTACTACATGTCCAGGCTGGGTCAAGGTGGTGGCATATAGTGACCAATAAGTTAAACACTGTCCCATTCCTCGTACATTAAAGTTTAACTGAGAAATTTAAGTCCCGCCTTTAAGACCATCCCTGATTCTTCGCATGAGGTTTGGCCTGGAGTCTTACTGAAAGTTTCCTAAAATCTCTCTCCTGTTTCCATATAGAACATATACAAGCCTCTTACCCATCTTAAATCTGAGCCACTGTTTAATTTGACGTCCCATCCTTTGCTTAATCAAAACTGATGTTCTAATATGATAGTCCACAGTACTTCAATTAAAAAAAAAAACTAATGTTCTAACTATGACTTACATTTTTTTATTTCTATTCTTTCTTCTCCCTTCCATTGCCAAGAAAATTGGCTCTCTTTTTCTCAGCTTTTTTTTTTTTTAAGAAACATTTTTGTGACTTCATGAGATTAATATTATATGTGTAAGGGACTAGGTATAACCCCAAAAAACTGCATCAAGATGTAGATAATGGAGTTGGCTAGATTCACTCATTAGCTGAATGTCTCACTTCTGCTTTCCACCCTAGAGAATATATAAAACAGTTATGCCTCAGCAAAATTAGAAGTTACAAGTTATGAACTCTTGGGGATTCTCTCCATTAATTGATATCAGGAATGTTAATCCTGAAGACATCAGGGGCCTATGGTGTTTCCACTGGTTAGGCTTTCTGCATGCATTCCAGATGGGATGGCTTTAGGCATCTTAGAGTAAAGTTACAATCACAGGTCCAGGGTGAAGAAATGTTGAAGTGATTTCTTAATCCCAAACAACAGACAGCTTCTTGCTCGAATGCCCTAAGGATTTCTTATTCCCCAGACAGTACCATCTTTGAGACTAAGGCCCACAACAGGACTGCCACCTCTGTCATTAGCTCAGCTTTTTCACTGCCTCAGCCAGTGAAGACCAGGCTCAGCAAGCAGAGCATAGCTGCCACATCCTCTCATCTTCTAGTGATCACATCTCCCCAGTGATTATGTAAAGAGTATTAGGGCCAAAGAAGTTTGGAACCTAGCGTGATCAGTGGAGAGCTGACTGAGCATCTGCCATCCTGTCAGGTGAACAAGGAGGCAGTTCCAAATTGCGGCAGTTCAGGGTGCTGCCGACACATGACAGCTTGTTACCATCCTGTCATCTCAGGAGAGAATGTTAGCCTTTGAATCTCCTGAAGGACACAGGTTTAAAAGTTTAGGGGCTTCAAGATTAAGAGTCCCAGGAATCTTTTAAGGAGAGTTAGAAAGGCTGCTATTGAGAGAGCAGGAGGGAGGAGAATTTCCAAACCCCCTCTTTGGACTGTGATCTGTTAGCTGGGGGCCTACAACCTGATCATCTTTTCCTCCCACCATTCATTTAAAAAACAAAAACAAGGAAAAGGAAATGATGCATTAAACAAAGAAATAATAGGAGCTAAAGAGGAACTACAATAAATTAAAGTACAATAAATAAAACCCAACAGCTAAGAAATAAGAAAATAAGGCATGCTAAGAGCTGTTGGGCTATAACAAAATAAAGGAAATATGATTAAAACAGGAGAATAAAAAAGTGAAAAAGAATAAAATGAGGTAAGAAGGACCTGATCCTCTACCTAGTCTATTCACCAAATTATGTACAGATATGGCCACAGAGTGGGAAATAGACATAGGCCTGCTATTGGAGAAATACTCTCAGCAGGCTGAATAGTAACCCTCTCTTTGAGTGGTTTTCAAGCTGTCTTCCCAGAAGCCCTGGAGCTGGCTTCTCACAGGGGTTTGGGGGTGTGGGTTCGGGAGGAAGAGGCAGTGAGGGAGAAGCCAAGCACTGTTGCCACCAGCCTTCTGCCTCTGCTTCTGTTTAAGCCAGAGAAGCTGTGTCTCCAGCTGCTTTATGGATCAGGGTCTGCAGAGAGAATTCAGAGAGGTCTGTGAACTTAGAATAAAACTCTGTATTTTTTTTCACTAACCTCTCAGTAATATTTAGCATTTCCTCTCATTATGAATACAGACAACAGATCACAGTAGTATAAGCAGCATCTGTGTCTTGCTCACTAATAAAAACAGGTTTTTCAAATAGCATTAACGTTTGTTGCGTATATCTTAAATTATGCTCATCAGTGCTTAGAAATTACATTTGAAATTAAACTACTGCTAGAGAAGCACATTTTCCCACATCTTAGAGATTTTTTTAATATTTTGATAATTGTATTTCACTGTAATTGGTTTCCTTTGTGATCCTATGTGCTTTTATTTTATGCATGTAAAACATCATTCTGGGAAGGGGCTTATGAGCTTTCAGAGTTCCAGAGAGTTCAAATGTCAAGAACCCCACTATGAGATCATGTTTGAAGAAAAGGTCCTTTGCTTAGGCTTAGTCCTGCTGCTTCCCCCAGGCCTTTTGAAGTTTTCTAGATCTTTGTTTTTTTCTTCCTACAAAGAAGGCTTTATTTTCTTATTTTAGTTTAGACTTTATAGAGTAAGACAAACATATGGCTGATAGGTGTGCTGTTTTCCAAATGAAAGCTTAAATACAGCCAGCCTCCTGAGCTTCCCCACTGAGCCGGAAGAAGGTGAGGGGAAGGTGAGGAGAAGAGGACAGGCCCCTATATGCTGTCAGCAGGAGACCAGTGCGGGGGCGACGTGGGGCAGGAACAGGAACACTTCTGCTGGGTTTTGGGACCATGGCAATTTAGACATGCATGAAATGAGACTTGTTCCTTTTATTATCAGGGTGTCAGTAATCATAACTGATAATTTAATCTGCAACATATTGGTCATCCTGAAGGCTAAGTGATAGAAATTTCTAATGTATATAACATATTCTATTTTAAGAATATAACATTTTTTTAAAGTAGCCTTTTAGGGGCTCCTGGGTGACTCAGTCGGTTAAGTGTCTGTCTCTTGATTTCGGCTCAGGTCATGGTCTCAGGATCGAGCCCCAAGTCAGGCTCCTTGCTCCTTGCTAGGGAATCTGCTTGAGGATTCTCTCTCTTCCTCCCCACCTTCTCGCCCCCAACTCATGTGCGCTCTCTCTCTCTCTCTCTCACTCTCACTGATGAGCTCTCTCTCTCTCTCTCTAAGGTAAATAAATACATTTTAAAAAATAAAGTACCCTTTTGGTTTTTAGCAAAAAGGTGGGGAATGCTGAATTAATTGTCATTCAATAAGAAGAGATGGTTGCAGAGCTCCATGAGAAGGGCTGTTTTTCTCAGAATACAGCTCTGTCTTGTCATGGA